AATGCCATATTGAATAAGGCATTAAAGCAATGCTAATAGATTTCTGGCAATCAGCAAACACTTAATGAGGTGATACTGTTCAAGTAACTCAACCTAGCAGAATGAGAAAACTCATTCTGATTCTTGAAGGCCCTCTCCAACATAACAATTCTAGGAAAGATAAGACATGCAAAAGCAAGTCAATGAAGGTATAAAATAAATATTGTACTGTTATGAGAACTCAGAAAAGGGAAAAACTGGAAGAAATGTTAACAGACTATGAAATACTGTAAATGGAAATTGAGCTGGGTTTTGGAGAATGAGTGGAATCTAGAAAACCTAAAGGTACAGGCCTAATTGTAAGTATTTTTTCTGCTAGCAGTGGTTCTAATAATTAATGCCATCTTCTTATTATGAGGGTGCAGTGAGAGCACAGGGGGAGTGATGATAAAGACAGCCCTTGGTAAGATCACTCTTTCCCGTGAGGCTCCCTTTGCGCCCTACAACAGTGGTTTAATACACACAAATAAAAAACTTAGGTTCTATAGTTGGATCACCTAAACTAAAAAAATGGTTCCACAACTTATGAGCTATGTGACCTCAGGTAAGTCACTGAAGTCCTTTATACTTCAGTTTCTTCACCTATAAAACATATATTAAAATAGGAATGAACGAAGGGCATAAAGTTTCTAGATATAAAGGAGAAAAAAGTTTTGAGATTTACTGCACCCCAGGGTGACAAGAGCCGGTAATAGTGTACTACGTATTTCAAAATAACTGAGAGTAAATTTCATGTCTCAGCACAAAAATAATAGGTAACAAGGGATATTTTAATTAGCTTGATTTAATCACATCACCTTATATATATGTCAAACCATATTGTACCCCATAAATATATACAGCTATGATTTGTCAATATAAAAATAGGAATGATATCATTGAGATGTGGTTCACTAGATTTTTCATTAGTAAGATAACACAAAGCACTTAATAGAGTACACAGCATATAATAAATGCTTAATAAATGTCAAGGCTATTTGTTGTTATTATTAGCATCACAATCACCTTACTCAATATTTAAATGGTAAATAAAGAAGAACATCTCAAACTTATTATTAACTTTAGGTTAATAAACTATACTGTTCTATTGTAAACATGTTACTTGATAAACTGCATGGGAAAGGATTTTAAAGCTTATCTAAGTTTTTACTAATACAGGGTAAAAAAAAGCTAATAGCCTGAAGTGTCTGGTTCTCAAAGTGCTCAAAAACATTAATTAACCTTCAAAATAAATAAAGTAAATGCAGATGTACTCACTATTCCTTACCATCATTAAAAACTACTCAGTAAAACCTGGACATGAAATCAATGACTTTAGATTTGAGAGGTTTTGTACAACAAATTAATGTCTAATCAAACTTCCTACTATAAAAGAGTTACTGTCTAAACAGGTGTAGTAACTAGATATGAATTATTTATAATTAGACTATAATTTCTACCAAAATGAATATGGTAGAAGGAAATATCAGAAATGGGATTCAAGAGACCCACATCCTAGCATGTACCAGCTCAGCAATTGTGTGACTTTGGATATGACTCCAACCTCTCTGGCCTTTTTTGTCAATAAAGGGCATTAATCTTCCAATCGCTCTTTTCCCCTCAGAAATTACCATGATCCACAGTCAGTACAAAGATACATACGTTGGTACTGCATTCAAATTCCCAGTCAGTGGATCCAAACCAATAAGGTTTTACTGCTGGCATTATTTGTGCTCAATATAATTTAAAAATATGCTTCCTTTTTAAATCTAGATTTTTTGAGGGAGATGGAAGCTTAAATATTTTTAGTCATACCAGTCTTCTGAATTGAACCTTCCTAGAAATATTTTAAGTATCAGACATTATTAAAACTTTAGGAAAATAATAAATTCATATTCCTACAATTTTTTAAGCAATTATAAACTATCATTATGGCAACTGTATGAGAGAAGCTTTTTTAAAGTTTGAAAAAAAAAACTTTTTAAGCCTGCTAGATCTCCACACCTCCTTTATTTCCTGTGCATGTACATTATGCCAAACACTGCAGTAGCCTATGCAACATTATCGCTTTCAATTATTAAAATCTAATGAGGCCAGACAAAGTGGCTTATGCCTATAATCCTAGCACTTTGGAAGCCCAAGGTGGGAGGCCAGGAGTTTGAGACCAGACTGGGAAATACACAGACCCCTCATCTCTTAAACAAACAAACAAGCAAGCCTAATGAAAAGTAGGCTTTCAGACAAGTGCTACCCAGTTCCTACATAACTGGACCCAGATCACATCATTAGTAAGTGGCAGAACATGGATCTGAACCTAGGCTTCCTACAGATAAACCTCATATTCTCCATTGTATAATGCCAAATTGAAAGCTGGAGCTGATTAAAGTTCTTCAAAATGTTATCCAGGTGCATGCATAACAAATGGGCAAAGTGTAGGCAGATAATTATTATATGTGAGATGAATCATAAAGGCCAAGAAGAAAATCTCTCTAAGTGAAATTAACAAGATACGTCCTTTATTGAATAGAGACAAATTTAATATGACTATTTCACCTACTCTTAGACCCAAAAACAGAGAAAAGGGCTTTACTCCAATATATTTGATAGGTACTTTCCCACAGCCGAAAACTGTAATTAATTAATTTGTTGAAAATGTCTTTTAAAAACCATGTGAATCTGATTAAATAAAATTAGGGTACATTTATGCAAGAGAAATGTTATGTAGCCATTAAAGAAAGTGATACAGATCTACATTATCATAAAAACATGTCCATAATGATAAATGAAAACGGAATGTTACAAAAAGACTCACGGTATATTCTCACTTAAGAAATTAAACATATAACTATGAAGTCTGAAAAGATATCTACTAACCAGTGTTTTTCTCTGTGTAATGGGATTATCAATGAACTTTACTTGCTTCTTTATTCTTTTCTGTGCCATCTGAAATGGTCCCACTCTAATGGCAAGCATGAACCATGACTATAATCAGAAAAAAAATTCACCCCATTCTGTTTCTATTTGGTACTACATACTAAAGAATCTTATGAGCGTTATTTTTTCCCAGTAGGCTTTCCTATTGGAAAAAGAACACCCTGTTAGCCTAATAAATATTTGGATCCAGCTGACAGTTAAAATTCTAGCAGTATATAAATAAGTTGATGATTCTGTTGTTCTAGGTTGAATCAAGTCAATTTCCCCAAAGTTGATGATACTAGTATAGTCATGTATAAGGCCCAGCAGCACTCAATGATCACAACCTTAAATTAAATAAAATTAACTATACAAAAGTACAGTAAATCCTAACTTACCACTTCCTTTCCTCTTGTTCCTAAGAACAAGGTCTTTTCAATAAATGGAAAAGCTCTGAAAATTACATATGTAAACTCACACATACTAAATGAAAATATGTAAACAGGTACATGAGACTAGCTCAAAGCAGGTTTCACGACAGACATGCGGAAACAAGCACTAGGAATGCTCTGGTGGAGCCATGGGACCTTTAGAGCACTGGAGGAGAACAAAAAGGAAAGAACAGCCAAGAGAAATGAGACAACTAGGCACTGATAGTCACATGCAAGACAAAATGAATATATCCCAGAATAGGAACATCTGAGAGGCAATCTACACTGCCACCAACACCACTGTGCAAAGTGCAGAAGAATTTCAATCTTTTTCTGTAAGGGAGCTGAAGAGATTTTAAGTGAAGCTGCAAGAATGAAAATGTATTAGTTGCTAGCAAACAGTGTGGGTGACTTAACTGACATTTGCCAACAAAATTTCTAGTCCCTTACAGATTCTTCAAATTGGTTTTAATAAAAAAAATTATGAAAGATTGTTTATCCAGGATAATTGATTCTAAATAGGAGGCATAGAATTTTATTAAAATCCCTTCTGAGAAATATATTCAAATACTGTTGCTTCTGATGGTCAACAATTGTTAATTTAGATTCATTAGTTTAGATGTTTGTTTAATCCTGAAACCAAAATCAAAGACATCACAAGAAAGATAAACTACGGATAAATATCCCTTATGAATATAGATGCAATAATCCACAACAAAATACTAGCAAACTGGATCCAGCAACATATAAAAAAGATTGTACATTATGGCCAAGTGGCCTTTATCCCAGAAATACAAGATTGGTTCAACATATGAAAATCAATCAACATAATACACCATATTAATAGGCTAGGGACAAAAACCACATGATCATACCAATAGATGCAGAAAAAGCATCTCACAAAATCTAACAAATTTTCAAGACAAAACATTTAACACCCTAGGAAAAAAAACGAACATTCTCAACCTGATAAAGAGTATCTATAAAAACCCACAGCTAACATCATATTAAATGGTAAAAATCTGTCCCCCTAAGACCAGGAACATGACGAGTACATCCATTCTTGCCACTTCTGGTTCAACACTGTCCTGGGGGTGCTATGCAGTGCAAATGGCCAAGAAAAAGACATATAAGCCATCCATATTGGAAAAGAAGAGATTAAACTCTCTATTTGCAGGTAACTTGATCTTATACAGTAAATCCTCACTTAATGTCAAGGATAGGTTCTTGAAAACTGCAACTTTAAGTGAGATGACATGTAAGAAAACCAATTTTACCATAGGCTAATTAATATAAACAAGCCTTATTATTAATATAAACTTATTACTAATATAAAGAGTTTCAATGGCACATTTTTGGTCACAAAATCATCATCATATTCTAAATAAAGGCCGGGTGCTGTGGCTCACACCTGTAATCCCAGCACTTTGGGAGGTTGAAGCAGGTGGAGGATCACCTGAAGTCAGGAGTTTGAGACCAGCCTGGCCAACATGGTGAAACCCTGTCTCTACTAAAAATACAAAAATTAGTCGGGCATGGTGGCAGGTGCCTGTAATCCCAGCTGCTTGGGAGGCTGAGGCAGGAGAATCACCTGAACTCAGGAGGCAGAGGTTGCATGAGCCGAGATCACGCCACTGTACTCCAGCCTGGGTGACAGAGCAAGACCCTATCTCAAAAAACAAAAAAAAAAGTTTCTAAATAAAGACTCAAAGCACTTTATACACTTTACTATTAAAGCCTGAAATAATGTAAGCTATCCATCCATTTAAGAAAGATGTTTTAAAACCCATTTTTTGGTGAATCAGTGAGTGATGGCGGTTGTAGTGGTAGTGGATTAAATCAAGGAACAAATGTTTGCAAAGCAAATACCATGGTAGAAGCACCTTCCACCACAACCACACATTTCAAAAACAACAAATATGGCAGGATCACTAAGTGCCTTCATACTGCATCATTTATTGTTGTGCATTTACATGATTATTGCATACTTTATGAATTTTAATTTTAAAATAATCTGTATTCATTCATTCATTCATTTTTCAACCTGCTTATTCCAGTTCTTGGTCATGGGTGGCCAGAGCCTATCCTGACAGCTCAGGGAGCAAGGCAGGAACCAACTCTAGACAGGACACCATTCCATTGCAGGGCACACTTATACACACACCTTTACATTCACTCATACTGAGACAACTGAGACACACCAATGAACCTAATGTGTATATCTTTGGAATGTGGGAAGAAACTACAGAATACCCAGAGAAAACCCCATGCAGACATAGGGAGAGAACATGCAAATTCCATACAGACAGTGGCCTCAGCCAGGAATTGTTTTTTTTTTTTTCCCTTATCCACATTATAACAAAACAACACTCAACCCAACAATTATATCTGAGGGCCTACTGTATATATTTTTTAAATTCTAAGGAATCCACAAAAAAGCTACTAGAAATAATGAATGAGAGTCCAGCATGGCTGCTGGACACAGTATCAACATACAAAAATGAATTGCATTTCTATACACCAGCAATAAACAAATCTGAAAAGGAATTAAATAATTCCATTTATAATAGCATAGGAAAAAACAAAATACTAAGGAATAAAGTGAGAAGAATTAAGACATATAAACTATAAATGATAATACACTGTCGAAAGAAATTAAAGACAACTTAATTGGAAAGACATCTCCTGTTCATAAATTGAAAGACATTGTTAAGACAGTAACACTCCTCAAATTGATCTGAAATATAAACACTATCAAAATCCTAGCTGTCTTTTAGCAAAAATTGACAGGCTAATTGCAAAATTCACATGGAAATATAAGGGATCCAAAAAATTAAGACAAACTTGAAAAAGTACAACAAAGGTTAGAGGACTTGAACCTTCCTATATCAAAACTTCCTAAAAAGGTACAATAATCAAGACAGTAGAGCAGTTACACAAGGACAAACAGGTAGATTAGTGGACTACAACTGATAACCCAGAAATAAACCATTACATTTATGGTCAACTGATTTTAACAAGGGTACCAAGGCAACTCAATGAGAAAAAAATCAGTGTTTTAAACAAATGGTGCTGGGACAACTGGATGTCCAACAGCAAAAAAAATGACGTTGGACTATTCTACTTCATATCACATATAAAAGTTAACTCATACTGGCTCAAAGAGTCAAAGGAGCTTAAACTAGAAAACTCTTTTTTCTTTCTTTCCTATCTTTTTGTTGTTGTTGTTATTGCTGTTGAGACAGGGTCCCACTCTGTTGCCCATGCTGGAGCATAATGGTGCAAAAACAGGCAACCTCAGCTTCCTGGGCTCAAACAAGCTTCCTGCCTCAGCCTTCCAAAGTGCTGGGCTGAGTCAGGGCACCCAGCCAGAAAACTCTTTAAGAAAAAAATAAGTGTAAATTTTCATGACTTTGGATTAGGCAATGGTTTCTTACATGTAACACCAAAAAGGACAAACAACAACAAAAAAAGATAAATTCGATTTCATTAAAAGGAAAGATAACATACAGAATGAGAGAAAACACTTGCAAATCAATTATCTGATAAGAGACTTTTACTCAGAATATATTTAAAAATTTTTACAACTCAACAGTAAAAAGACAACCCAATTTAAAATAGATAAGAGATCTGAACAGCCATTTCTCCAAAGAAGATATACAAATGGCCAATAAGCACATGAAAAGATAGTCAAGATCATTCAGTCATTATAAAAATGCAAACCAAAACCACAGTGAGATACCACTTCATACCCCTAGGATGGCTATAATCATAAAGATGAGCAATAACAACTGTTGACAAGAAGTGATAAAGATTAGAAGCCTCATACATTGCTGGTGGGAATGTAAAATTCAGCCACTGTGAAAAACAATCTGACCGTTCCTCAAAAAATTACCTTATGACCTAGCAATTCCATTCCTAGGAATTTTTACCCAAGGAACTAGAAAACCTGTGTCCACACAAAAACTTAACACACAAATGTCCACAGCAGCATTATTCATGATAGCCAAAAAGAGGAGACAGACAACCCCAATGTCTGTCAATTGATGAATGGATTAAAAAAAAAAAAAAAAAGTATGTCCACATAGTAGAATATTATTGGGCCATAAAACAAAATTAAGCGCAGTAGTCCTCCCTTAACTGCATTTTCCCTTTCCCTGGTTAGAGTTTCCTGCAGTCAACCAGTTAAAAAGTAGGTGCGTATAGCACAATGAGGTATTTTGGGAAAGACATCACATTCATATAACTTTACTATAGCTTACTGTTACAATGATTCTAATTTATTGTTAATTAATGCTGTTAATCTCTTACTATAATTTACAAACTGAACTTTATCATAGTTATGCATAGATAGAAATAAACATACTATATACAGCGTTCAGTCCTATCTGTAGTTTCTAGGGCATACACTAGGGGTCTTAGAGCCTTATCTCTCAAGGGTAAGGGGAAACTATTGTACTGATACATGTTACAACCTGGAAGAACCTTGAAAACTGAAAGAAGCCAGTCACAAAAGGTCATATATTTTATGATTCTGTTTATGGGAAATGCTTAGAACATATATGCAAGTTATGAATTCTGTAGAGACAGAAAGGAGATAAGTGGTTGTCAGGGGCTGGGGAAAAGGGAAGTGGAGTGACTGCTAAAGGGTATGGCTGGCTTCTTGGGGAGGGAGTAAAGAAAAAGTCCTGGAATTAGATTAAAACTTTAAAAAAGTAGTCATTTTAACATATTTCTCTACTAGGTTGTAAACTCCATAAAATAACATGTATGTCTTACTAACTAACTTTATTCCCACAGCTGAGCAGAAAGCCAAAAACAACTAAACTTTCAATATTATTGTTGACTGATTAGAATGAATGTATACCTTATGACAGGTTACTAATGCTAATTGATTTAGTCAAAAAAATGTTTCTATGCTTTGGACTTAACATTTAATTACACTATTTTCAGATGTCTATATTTATTAAATAACAAATAATGCTTTCGGTTAAATTTATAAAAAAGCAAACACTGTTTTGCAGACTTGTCTTCCCTTATAAGACCTTAGAAAACTGTTAAGTGCCTTTCATCTTTATGTTCCCATTACCTACATCATCAATGCTTGCTGCATTGTCTGAATAGCGGCCAGGTTATTTTTATGGCAAAAACATTTAATCTTCAAATTAAAATAAAGGACACCTTTCAATAAGAACTACAGGATCACCAAAATGTTAAAATGTTGTTGAATTCCTCTATAATCACTTTAGTGTCTCCTTATTTTTGAAAAAACAAAACTTATACAAGTAAAGTTTAACTTTTCTTGGTTCCTCAAGTCTCCTTCTACTCTGCAAAATAAAGTGTTAATCATGCAAGGTAACCGTATACTGTGCCCTAAACCGTAGTCATATAAAATGCTCATTAAATATACTTTCAAAGATCTGAAATGAATTTAGCAGTACTTCTCCATTTATAACTTTGGGGAATGCTTATGGATTACTAGAAATAATGCTCATCAATTTTAATAAACCCTTGTAATTAGAAAAAAGTAATTTCTGCCCTGCAGTCCTTGCCAACTTTTGTTTCCAATATAAGAATGTGAAAAATCATTGATTGTGTTTTGTGTAACAGCATCTTTTTCAAACTAAAATGCTAATTCAAAATAACTCAGCACACTTAAATCTGGTCTTTAAAATAAAAACTTCTGGCTCAATGCACAGTAAGAAGAGTTGCCTACATTTGGTAATCACAAACTGTCATCTGCCATAGCTAAAAATAGTGTCAGCCTGCATTGCATGCCTTACATGCAGAAGTCATCCAATTACATTTTGCCTCAAATCAAATTCTTATGTTCTTCTTTGAACAGCCTGAAGTCAGGTTTCAATTTTAATGGCTTTTGTCTGGGGGGAGGAGTGGGGGAGAGTTGAACTGGCTGTTCCTAAAAATACTAGGACAGGGAATGGCTGGCAGAAAAATACCTACTTTTGAAGCAAAAGCAAATATTAAGTTCTCTTTAATAACACCAGGTGAGGAATGAGAATGGCAGTTAAATAGGAAATGAATATATATATATTAGAATGGTATTAAAATTTTAGTTGTTTTGCACAAACAATGTTTATAATAAGTAATTACATATTTATTAGGAATCACAATCCTTAATCAAATGCTTCCCAATTGCCAGGAAAAGTAATTAGAATTCAGAATTGATCATTAAGTACTACACAGGAGTAAGCTTTTATCTCAACATAGTAAGCATTCACCTATCAAATAAATGACAGGTAAAGGTCCAGAAAAAGTATCTGTGTAGAGTTTAGATCTTTTCACAAAGAGATTAAGAGGGCCTTGAGTCCTGTTTCTTCCTTCAGGTTCGTATCAATATGATCTGAGACGATAATGTAATCTCTGTTTCCCTGTGTGTAAAATTAGAAAAATAATACCCACCTAAGAAATTATTTAAGGCTGAATGGAAATTTCACGAACGGCAATGCTTGGTGAACTGAACACACTAAATAAAGATACTAAAGCTCAAGAGATAAGGTCAAGTAAAGCAATCAAATATTAAATGTAATGCTTAGCTAAGCCCTGATTTTTTAAAAAAGGTGAATTCAACTTTCTCTGAAAGTATGTCTAAAGAAGTTTCAATTAGCAAGTCTCAGGCTGATGAGTACCTATTGCTACAAAAGTAACTCAACCAAATACCTGGCTAACCAG